AAGACGCTATGGATCATTAAGTCCAGTGGTTGTCCAGAATCCTCAGTGGGGAAGCGAATTCCCAACCTCTGGCTCTGCAACCAGATGCCCAAGCCACGGAGCTAAAGTTTTCCTTCTGCTCCATCCACTCCACCAGGGAGTTTGTCGCATTTGTGATGAGTGAGGAAGGAGAAAGACCAAGCCCTCTCTGTATCCATTGGGGTGGAAGGAGGGATCCATCTGAGCCATCCATTAAAAGGGAGCGGGCAACTGGTTTGCATGGCGGGGTTAGAACTCTGCCCAACCAGCCCTTCCTGCATGCGTCAGATAGCATCAAGCAGATAGCATCAAGATCATAGCCATGCCTTCCCCCCCCCCGTGGGATGATGGCCATAACTCAATAGACCACTGGCTCTGTGTCCAAAACACTGGCAAATATCTGAATACAAACCCATGGGAAATGCCTCTATGCCATCTATTCAGATGCTAAATGAATCATAAGGTCGTCAGTGCATTAATCATAATAATAATCAACCCATCGCACAGTTACAGGATGGGGGATACCTGGCTCAGCAAAACTACAAGTGAGAAGGATCTTGGAATTGAGCCAAACATCAGCCAACAATGTGATGTGGCTACAAAGAAAGGCTCATGTTATTTTAGGCTGCATTAATACCCTGTTTTCCCCAAAATAAGACCTAACCTCAAAATAAGCCCTAGTATGATTTTTTCAGGATGCTCGTCATATAAGCCCTACCCCAAAAATAAGCCCCATTGAAGTGAAACCCTGCCCTCCACCCTTGTACAGCAACCAGAAGATGACATGACTGTATTTGAATAAATGTAGATAGTTGTACATGAAAAAAAATCCCCTAAAAATAAGCCCTAATGCATTTTTGAGCAAAAAAAATCATGTAAGACCCTGTCTTATTTTGGGGAAAACACGGTAGAAGTCTAGTTTCCAAATCCCATGAGCTGCTATTCTCCCACTATTCAGCACTGGCTAGACCTTGCATATTGTGTCCAGTTATGGACACCCCACTTCAAGAAAGATGCTAACAAATTGGAACAAGTTCAGAGGAGGGTGACAAGGATGATCAGGGGGCTGGAAACCAAGGAGGAAAGGCTGTAAGAACTGGGCATGTTTAGCCTTGAGAAAAGAAGACAGAGGGGTGATAGGATGACTGTTTTCCAATATTTGAAAGGCTGTCCTCCAAAAGAGGGGCAGGATCTGATCTTGATCATCCCAGAGTACAGGACACAAAACCATGGGCTCAAGTTACAGGAAGCCAGATTTCAGTTGACTATCAGGAAAAACTTCCTAACTGTTAGAGCAGTACGACAGTGAACCGATGACCTTGGGAGCTGGTGAGTGCTTCAACCCTGGAGGCATTCAAGAAAAACTTGGATAACCATCTGCCAGATCTGGTTTAATTGGAATTCCTGCATTGAGCAGGGGGCTGGACTTGATGACCTTGTAGGCCCCTTTCCAAATTCACTTTTGCATGATGCTATGTGCTGTCAAGTGAATTCTGACTGAGGATGATCCTTTTCAGGGTTTTCCAGGTAGAAAATACTTAGAACTTGTTGACCCTCCCCTTCTTCTGGGGTGTCTTGGGACTGTGCAGCTTGCCCAAGGCTACCCA